AATATTTAAGTAGATTTTAATTCTATGTTATCACATGACAAGAATTTATATTGCATTTGTGTACTTGGGGAATTAAACACATCAAGTCTTAGAAATTTCTTTTCAATATCTATAAAAATACACTGATTGAGCAACTATGTGCTTCCAATCATTTGCCTCTACAAGACAGCAATGTAAGTGGACTACTCAGTGTATTTAGCCTAACTAAAATAGAGATTTTGAATGTTTGTCATAATTCCAACCATTAAATGTAATTTATATAATTTCTCTATCTTCTTAAGTAGAATGAATGATAGAGTCAAAGGTCAACACAACTTCAGAGATGAATTACTTGGAAAAAGAAAGAAGAGGTTTTGTTTTTTTTTTTTTTAATTTGAAAGGACAAAGGAGAATGTTTAAGTCATAGAATTGAAAGGCATAACTAATACAGAAGTTTATAAGTCTGACAGAAGTTTAGAGAAGACCTAGATGCTTCCGTAGTCCCAACACCATGACAACAGCATGGAGGAGCAAAAGGGGTTCCAGTACCTCTATCACTTGCATAAGAATGGTGAGACAGAACACTCACACAAATCAGCCAACGCAGATATGCAGCAAGAATAACCAGAAGCCTAGAATCCTTGGTGAGCCAGCTTCCCAAGTCTCAGGAAACTGCCCAGGGCGAATGGAGTGTCATCGGTGCTTGCCCCATTGTGACACAGCTGAGGGAACTCAATACACCCTAGACACCACTTGAATTGCTGAGCTCAAGCACTGGGGAACATCCCATTCTAGGAGGGAGGAGGACATAGCCTAGACTGTACCCAACACTTTCTCTGTGTCTCAAGATGCCCCATTCTAGAACTAGAATGGGATAAAGAGAAAGTCTCTGTTAAGTGGCAGGGGAAAGAGCTGGGGCAGCCAAGGTAATCTGGGGACTTGTCTTCCTACAACTAACCTTCCCAGTTCAATCCCTTCTTTATTTTGAATATTACTAGTAAGAAATAAGGACACCATACAGTTTCTCTTTGTGGTATATTATCCTTAGAATATCTTTTACTGAGCTAAAAGATCCTCCCTCCCTTTGTGTTTTTTCCTTTCTTCTCTCTGAAACCATATAGAGTAAAATCTTCCTGATTTGCAGTTTTTAACATATTGAAGAAACTACTCTAGTTATTGGGGTTTTCTTGTTTTGTTTTTAGGTGTATGCATTTGTTTGTTTGTTTGTTTCTGAGATAGGTAGCCTAAGTTCATTTAACCATTCCTCTAGTGCAGAGGTTTTCACTGTGTGGTCAGTGCACTGGTGATGGTCAGTGACTATTTCTTACCCTCTGCTCACTGTATGTTATAGGTCTGCAAGAAGATAGGGAGCTTGCACCAAACTATAAATCAACACACCACTTATTTCATTGAAAAATTCTTTCTACAAAAAGTAATAATAAAGTTAGCTGAATTAAACTGTGTTTACTGAGATAGTTGCTTTATATTGTGGCACAAGATTTTATCTTATTGTAGATCAGTAATAATTAATTGAGCCAGCTAGTTTGATAGCAAGTGATAAGAATTTGACATGATTTGTAGACTGGTTCTAATCATTCTTCCCTACACCAGCCTCTGAAGTACAACCAACTATTCCAGAGAGTTTGCTAAAAATATATTGGAAAATATTACATCCTTGTATCTGGAGACCATCTTAGTTTTGTATTGAGTTTTTAATCAAGTACAGCACTTCATGAGAATTATACATTTGTTCCCATTCAGATTATTCTTGATACTTATAATCCATCACTCCAAAATTACAACCCAGTAGCCATTCTGTCCAATTTTGTGTCATTTGTAAATATGAGCTATGTAGCTACTGGTATGTTAAAAAAAAAAAAAAAGTCACTTAGACACCACCTTTAAAAAATTTTTTTCCTGAGTCCATGGTTCAGCTGATCACTTATAGTAACCTTGACTCACTTATTTCTGATGATCTTTCTGGAGCCTGATCAAGCATCTGCCGTTACTGGTTGTTGACAGGGAACTGATCAGTCTATTATGGCCTCAGCTAAAGTAACTCAGCTTTCCTCTATGGTACTTGTATCCTTCAGCAGACTAGCCTGAATTTGTTCTCATGGCCATGATGTGGTTCCAAGAGAGACAAGAAGCACACAAGACCCTTGTAAGGATCAATCCCACCGCTGGCCTAGAGTAAAGCAGAAAAAAGGTGAAAATGGATCTGGAGGAGAACAAAGATAAAACCATCACAATGCCAATGTGTTCTTCCAAATTATTTATTAAAATTTGAACATGGTATTGACAAATACTTTTCACAGAAGATCTCAATAGACCTTACAAATGCATTGGTCAACAGTTTCGTAATATGTTATTTAACTACCTATGATTCTACCAATAGATGCTTTCATCTAACCTATATTTTTCCATTCATAAGAGTTCAGTGAAAAGTTTTCTAAAATTTGATGCTGTAATTAAGAAATTACCCATCGTTTTCTGAACATAAATGACCATCACTGCATTATTTATAATAGCAAAATATTAGAAACACTGCAGGAATGAATACATTTTTATGGTAATCCATATAATGAATTAGTTCATATAGCTTCTAATTTTCAAATAAAATGAAATGGGAAAATGCTCACATTTTAATGTAATAACAGAGTGGTGAGATACATAGTGAGACACAACATTAAGGAAATGCAGGTTTCATATTTTATATTTAATATATAAATATTTTGAAATCCTAGAAAGGAATACACTAAAAATACGGATACTTATTTTCTTTGGATAGTAAGATAATAGTGATTTTTATTTTCATATTAAATTTTTACATATTTTCCAAATTTTCTACAGTGGACATATAAAGCATCACTATCCAAAAAAGATAAACATTTAAAGTTGTTTTTCCATTTTGTAAGTTTCCTGGGAATTAAAATCAAGCTCACACTTTCCTCTATTTTGAAAATTTTGCCATTTGTTCATTGCCATTTAATATTCTCTGAGATGTTATAATAATCAGAGGGAAATTGGGATCTTTGCCATTAGCATAGAGGCTAGACAATAATAACTATTTTATGAATATTTTTATCTTGAATTTTTTTTTCTGCAGCTATACTCAATGTATGTCTTCTTTTTCTATTGGATACCAAGAAGAAAGAGGATTTTATGACTATTTGGACCGAGGCATAGTACCTATGTCAGAACCAATAAGAAAGATAAGTTCTATATCACAGGATAGGAATGCAAGGAAAAAATACATCTCAAACATTGGTGACTCTTCTGTCACATCATTATGAGACTAAAGAAGCTATCCCATAGCTACATCTATGTTGACATTGACCATTTGTTTATAGCCTTTAAACTCTTGCTAGCAGAAAAAATCATGTTACAAGGTGACATTTAAGCCGTCCGTAATGCTTAAATGGATAGTACAGGTGCTAGAATGTCTCTAACAACACAGTGGGTAGGCTTTTCCCGCAAGAGATCTAGAATCCGAATGTGAGCAGATAACCTACCAGAAACCATGTCCATCAGAAGCATTGTGATAGAATAATAAAGATGAGCACAGAGTCTTTGATTCTCCTCCCACTGAGAAGTGGAGTCTCTGTTCCTCCTCCTGATCTGAGTGGACTGTGTTACTTCTTGACCAATAGTATATGACAGAAGTGACATTATGCTAGTTTCCCGGTCCAAGCATTAAGAGGCTGGTAACTAATACTTCTTGTCTCCTGGAACACTCCCTCTTGGAAACCAGCTGCCAGTCTGTGAGAAACTAAGCCCCATGGAGAGTTCATGCATATGTGTTCCATTGACAGCCTTAACTATACTCCTAGCCAATCATAAGCATCCGCTGCAACCATGTAAGTGAGTCCTTTTAGCCTGCCATGTCTTTAGATGACTCTAGCTTCAGACACTATCTGACTCCAATTACATGAAAGATCCTAAGCCAAATACATCCAGATGAACTCAGTCAACCCACAGAATCATAAGACATAGTAATAAATTGTTGCTTTAATCTACTAAATTTGTGGTTGGATTGTTCAATGTTATTTTTTTTTTTTAAACTGGAACATTAATCTTAGCCAGTACTGTTGTACTTGAAACAAAATTTTAAAATAATTGCAGGAAATAGATGATGACATAAGATCTCTGTAGATCTGTCTTTTAAACTGGAACAGACCAATAGTGAGGAGAGCTTACTATACATTACACCTTTCAGAATCATACAGACATTGTGATCCAAAGAAACCAAGAAAAAATAAAACGAAAGCTCAAGATAGCACTTAGAACTTCATGTTTGGAGTTGATGAGATGCCATTATGAGTATGGCACTTTACTGTTTACGACAACCCTGGGGAATATGAATTATTATTATCCTCATTCTTTTATTTCCCCCTCCCTTCCTTTCTATCTCTCTCCCTTCCTCCCTCCCTTCCTCCCTTTCTTTCTTTCCCTCCTTCCAATTTCCAAGTTGCTTTCACTGTGCTCCACTCCATCACACCTCAGCAGGAGCCTGTCTCATGTCCGCAATCTCCCCATGCCATTCATAGTATGTGACATACAAAAGGATGCTGCTCAAGCAGGTATCCCTGCGATGTCAGGTAAGCGATCTCTGAGGTGAGAGGTTAACTCCTGCAGGATTTCATCCTCAGAAGCCCTTATGTGTTGCCTTAATCATCTTTGTTCTTCTCTCAGATCAGAAATGATCAATGGCCTGTTTTTTAAGGAACAACGTATTACACACATATATATATGTGCGTGTTATACACACATATATACACACACATATATATGTGCATGTTATACACACACATATATATGTGCATGTTATACACACATATACACACATATATGTGTGCGTGTTATACACACATATATATACACACACATATATATGTGTGTGTTGTACACACATATATATACACACACATATGTGTGTGTGTGTGTATGTATATAAGCCTACCAAACATATATATAAACATTTGTTATGCTGAAGGACAAACAACTCTTTTTGTTTTCAGGTATTCCAAACTTGATTACGTCTGATATGGTTAAAGAAGGTGCTGCTGTAATTGATGTGGGTATCAACTACGTCCATGATCCACTGACAGGAAAGACAAAATTAGTTGGAGATGTGGACTTTGAAGGTAATAAACCAATATCTTTTGATAAGTGAAGATTTAAAAAAATTCTACCTTACATATTTTAAAAATAGAGAAGTTTCATTTATGGGGGAATTATTAACTTATTAGTCATCACCTCTTTCTTCTGAGGGAAGAGAGTTCAATCAGACTTAAATATTTACTTTCTCCCTTCTTCTCTCCTTCCCTCCCTTTTATCCTTCCTTTCTTCCTTTTCTCCCTCTCTTCTAATTGTATCATTAATATTTGGTTTAGGGATCAAATTTCTTGTAGTACAGTTTTTATTAATAGAATACATCTGTCCTTTTATAGACCTGGGCATTGTTTTGAATTTCGGGAGTTGTCATCTTACTCTAGCTTAGTCAAATATGCTCTATTCTCAGCCATTCACTCTTAGAGCCAGAAGGTACTTTAGGATGTGTCTGCCAACCTTAACTATATTTCAGATCTAGGTAGTTATCTAGATAGTTGAAGTCAGTGTTTTTCACTTGTGTTTTAGAGAGAATAAAGAAAAGGAACTAAGCTAGTTTTTGTGGTCAGTGAAAGATATAAGGCAACAAATACGTAGCAATAAAAAAAAATTCTAACCCAGTCTTCTCTTTACAAAAGGGGAAACTGGGCCCCAAGACTGATGTATTTCTAGGTGCCTGACCCTCTAATCTGATTTTACTTCCGTTATCTTTGTCAGATGTTTACCTGCGTTCAGATTTTCAGTGTAGCCTAGGAGTCTTAGATGTCTATGAAGGCACAAATATGGTAAAGCAAGTGGTGACATTTTTATGTTAGAAATATTTTTTTGTATAAGACTGATTATTCTGGCCAAAAAATACAGTGCCACATCAAGAACTTCGTTAGTTATAGATGTGCCCTTCTTACAGAGAAACTGAAAAGAATAGGTGGTGCCATTTTAAAAATAATTTAGATTTTGAATTTTCACTTAGAACCTGCTCATCAGCTGATAGTTTCCCCAAATTCTAGCATATCATTGAATAAAATAGAAAATGCAGTTAGAAGTGTCCTAGGATACTGGCCTTATATATGTGAGATTCTAAGATACATCAGGGACCAGATCCAAGTAAGCCATTTGAGCCTAAAAGAAAAAGAAAACCCTGAGGACACATATGTGCAACAATGCATTCTAGAGACAAAATGGTGTAAATAAGAGCAGAGTACAGATGTACCTTACCAAAGAAAACACTGCTGCCCTCATTGGCTCTAATACATAGCGTCCCTGACATGGTTGGAACTCTGTTCTAGCAGTGATGACTCTCGATATGAACATGTGTATCTGTATGCATATACCTATGGCTGTGTGTGTGTTGTGTACATGCTGAAATCAGTAGGGAATGACCTCATTTATTTATTTAATCTTTCATGTTCAGTCACTTAGGTCAGATATGAGTAACTTACTTGAATTTCTCAACTTGAAAGAGTAAAGTGCATTTTATTTTAAAACCTGGCCTTATTTATTTTCTTTACTGTCATTCTGTTTCTTGATAACATTATAGTTATGCGTTCATTGCAAAATTACCACATTTGTGATGCACCCAGATGGCATTGACAACATGAGATAACCAGCTTGAGGCAAGAAAAGCAGGGATATTTGCAGTTCACAGCCTTGACCGCCTATAAGGCAAGCTTACCCAGCAGTTCAGTTTAGCACGTTTTATAAGACTCTTCTCTCATAGAGTATTTTTTTGGTCTCATATCACTTCCATGCTTTCTTATTTTTAAGTTAGAATGTTTTTTGCTGAAAGTAAAAAGTATTCTGAAAGCAAATTTTACATGAGCATTTTTGGTGGGTGTGTACACATAGTAGCACATATAGATACTCCATGTCACATGAAGTCTAACTTGGTAATGACTATTAAATCAAGTTGTAGTTCTGTGTATCTAAGCATATATAAAACATTTAAAAAGGAAATGGAAAAGGGACAAAGATATGAGATGAACAGGGCTGGGAGACCTAGCCTGTTGCCCTATAGCTTTACCACCTCACTAGCTGTCAGTGTTATCAGTTAAATGATAGCAATTATATTAGTGGCTCCATTCAGCTCTGCTGTTTGGGGTATCTTGGACATCCAACAGAGCATTACCAAACAATCATGTAAAAGCACAGAAACTTTCACCTGGAAGGTCAAGATTTTCTAATCCTATCATAAAAGACACCCATATTATTAATTGTATCTAGCTTGCCAGCGTGCTGGTTTATGGAGCCAGAGTACTAATGAGGACCTGGACTTGGTAAAGAAGGCTTTGCCAGTGAGGCCATGACTCAGCCACCCATAGGAGCAGGCAAGTGATAGGTTTTGACATGTTGCTCTTCAAGTTGTTCATCAGGACTTAACCTGAGGTGAGGGATGATCCCCCAACTGAGAGGGAGGAACTTTAAGATGGGTTATGCTACAAAACTCGTAAGTAACATTTGGCTTCAAATTGCCACAGGGAAAGTGTGGTGGCTGCTTTATGAGTATCGGTGAAAAGTTTCACTATAACTATAGCCAAGATAAACAAAACAGATGTAGATAAAATCAATCATTGAAGTAAATTGTCCTTGCAGAAATATTTGTTTCATTAGTAAAGAAAACTGGGTGACCCAGTTAAAGTAGATAACATTGATGGGAACGATTTATCGACATAAATGAGCAAAATGGCTGTGATGGAAAGGATGACAGTGTCCCAGAGGATGTAAAAAACTTCACATTAAAGGAACCTGCAGAGAAATTTCATGCCATTGAAAGGGCAAAGGATAAAATGTTGGAAGCTGATTCATACTTAGAAAGGAATCTGCCAGTTCACCAAGGCATAGAAAAGATGCTTGCTCCTAATCATCAGTTGTATGACCAAGAAAAGGCAAGAACCATTCAAACTATACTTTTCAAAATGTTTACAGAGAAAAAAACAGTTCAGTTCTCAATGTTTTCAGCATTTTAAGTTGCATTCGTTTTTTAAATATTAGTTTAATTTTGCTAGTAGTTTTACTATTAGTGAATACTAGTTTTACTATTAGTTTTACTACTAGTAAATAGTAATATTTGTTTTACTATTATCAGTAATATTAATTTTACTGTTATTTTTAATCCACTATACATTTATAAAACACAGTAAGAGAACTTTTAATGTTTCGACAAAATAATTTTAAAGGTCACTAAACAAATATAATTTCTCCCATTGACTATTAAAATTGCTTCACACTGTTTCAGCAGTCATCTCTGTGGTCTTACACTACTGTAAAAATTGAACACTGCCTGTATTTTTCTCTGTGTCCAATTGAGTCTCATAAAATTAGTGATCATATAGTTCAAATCAATATCCAATGCCATAATCACTTCTACTACATGATTATTCAGTTGTTTGGTTACAGTTTCTCACTATTACTATTACTGTCCAGGTAGGTTGTTCACTGTGGAAGGTAATGTGTGCTAAGCACCTTGCTAACCAGTATGTTCTTTTCCTCAACATACATCCAAGTTAGGCCTTTTCTGCAATGCCATGCCTCTTTGGATGTTTTGGGAAATAAATAGGGCTTTAAAGTTATTACTAAATTGAAGTGCTATTTTGTTTTGTATTGATTTCCAATTAAGAACTTGACAGTTCATCAATATGTCCAGTTTCTGACAAATGCTTAACATTCCTCTTCTGTTACTTGAACATACTTCCTCCCTCCTGACTTATGACATTAAAAGAAGAAACAGTATTTAAAAGCATCTGTGATAAAATTATTTTGCATGTCTAAGAATTATTTTTCATTACTAATAATCATACAGTGAATAATCTATTAATTTATAAATTTATATTTGCTATATAGATTATTACTTTTTATACTTATGTATACCTACTCTCATGGGCATTTTTTTAAAACCATTTTCTATTGTAGCTTTGAAAGAAACTTCATATACTTCTGACAAAGAAGGCTGTATTCTCAAAAGATATAAATGAGATTATGTGCTATGAGTAGTAAATAGCTTCTTATGAATAACACATCAGAAAATAGCGTGTAGTCCTAGACTCAAAAACTCGTAATTGTACTGTTCTTAATTCATCAAATGGATTTGTTCAGCTGAACAGTCTAATTAATTACTTCCATGCTGTTAATTCAATTAACTGTGCTCTTATAGGTGAATTCTTGGGCCTCATTTATTTCTCATAACTAAGACAAAGACATTTCTCTACACTTGTGAAGCTTTAGTAGCTTTGCTTCAATTTTATGATGCTTCCTGCAGGGATTGAGGTGGAATAAGAAGAACTGGAGTGTCTATTCCCTGTTGTCTGCCATCTCTCCTCCCTGTCTTCCAACTCTGACAATGCTTTTCCACTCATTGGTTTATACTAAAACAAGGAATAAAATAAGACAGGAAAGAATTGGTGTTGTAAAGAAAGCAAAAAGATAGGAAAGAGAAATGGCATGTAGGCATTTTTGTTAAAATCAAAATAGATGAGATTAATGTCTAAGAGTGACTTCCGTCTCTCTACTGTCTTAACATAATTGGATAATAAAATTTAAAGTGATAAGTCTTTGTAAAGGTGGTAAGTCTAATGTAAAGGTACATTATATTGTTGATGACAGTGGTTTAAATTACAAAAGTAAAGAAGTCACACTTTATGGAAAAGAATGTCTACTCCTCTAACGCAACTGACATTATCATTATATTTTGTACTAAAGTTGCTTCCAGATATTTTATGTATGCATCAACTATATAGTTTGAGGAATATATATGACTTATGCACTTAAACTTGTTTTACTGATTTGCCTTGCTGAGGTTCTGGTTTATGGTTATGTTCAGTGAATGTATCATTATTTGGTTCACCCTTTCTCTATTGTTAAACTCTTAGGTTGTTTCCTTTTTTTTCCTTTTAAGTATTATACTTGAGTATAGGTGAAGGGCTGTAACAAAGGGAAACCAAAATGCATAGCCAAGATAATTTGGCTAGCCAGGCATGGTGGCTCACACCTGTAATCCCAACACTTTGGGAGACGGAGGCAGGTGGATCACTTGAGTGCAGGA